TTTCTCCACATTCAAACCAAAATGTCTGACTTCCTGTTGGTCATAGCTAATGACTGTGAATTAGAAAGTTGTCCGGCTCGTAGAGTACAATATACATTCCGATTTTTGTAACTATAGGTAAAACTAATACCCCATTCGTGACTAAAGGTGGCGCTACTGAGCCCCTCACCACGCCCTTTTTTGAAACTTTGCACATGTCTACTAGCTAATAAATGAGATGTGTCTGTCGAGTTTCATGCAATTTCAAGCATGCTAAGAGTCTCAAAAGCATCAAAAAAGAATATTAAAGTTTGATGCGTTGCCATGCCAACATTATCTTAGATAATTAAATAATCCTTTAACATGTCTACATCTGGCGTGTGTTTACATTATACAGATGAAGTTTGAAGCAAATCGGGTAAAAAGAAGAGGGTGATTTCAAAGCATTTTGAAAGTGACACACTTCCTGCTGCCAGTTGGTGGCGCTAAAACTTTGACTCACAATAGTCACATCCATGTGATCGGCCTCTTACAGTGAACACACTGCTGAAGTTTCATCAAGATCAGTTAATGTATGAAGAAGTAATAACACACTTCCTGTTTCTCGCCATAAATTCGTTTCCTCGCCACGGCCAAACCATTAGAGATATCAAAAATCCCCTGGCAATTTTTCATCCTCAATGTCTTGACTTCATGCTGACTGAGTTTCGTGCCGTGTGTTTGAATTCTCTAGGAGGAGTATTTCAAATTCCATTGCATACGTTTTCCAAACAACCCTAAATAGACGACTTCCTGTTGGACTGGGGTAAAAAGTAAGAGCATGAAGGATATATGAACCGATGAGATCTATATGTGTACCGAGTTTCATATTACATGCAAGCGTGTTTGATTTATGGACCAAGTTTTCGGACCCTGTTCCAGGGGGCGCTGTCGAGCCCCCCTGCCACGCCCGGGTACCAGCTTCAGCCCGGCCCTGATGACCGCGGGTTCTGACCTGTGTGCAAAGTTTCAAGAGTTTTCGAGCACGTTAAGGGCCCCAAAAGTGCCCAAAAGTTAGAAGAAGAAGAAGAAGAATCTTAAGGAAAACAATAGGGCCTTCGCCTTTTCAAGGCTTGGGCCCTAATAATAATCCTAAGGAAAACAATAGGGCCTTCGCCTTTTCAAGGCTTAGGCCCTAATAAAGCTTCAAGCCCAGAAGTTTCCAAGCAGCACAACAGTAATGACTTTATGACCTTCTTCACTTACAAGATTGATAATATCAGGGAGAAAATTATAATTATGTGTAACTAACGTTACTTAAGGGATCAATGAGAATATCACAATGACCTATATTAATGATATTTAAGCATTAGAAATCAGAATTAGGTTCGGCTCTTGAAATGAATTGGCCACGACCTCTGTTTGAATAGCAAACGCAGTATCAAAAAATTTATTTTAACATTCCACAGGGATTGTGAAACGCACATAGGAAACAACAACAAATTCCCCCAAAATAGTCAGTCAGTTAAAAGAAAAAAAAAAATCAGTCCAGTCAAGTAGTTCAATGTTTAACTCAGTTGAGTTTCAATTCAGTTCCCGTGTGGTTTGTTGAATAAAAGGCCTTGTTTCAAATCACTACCCGTGCAGTGTGTGATAACGTTGGAGATCTCATAAATCTTATCTGTATGATGTATCCAAAAATGTACAGTCCACCAGCTTGGCGAGTTGATGGCCACTGGTTACAGTCACACTCCAGAATCACTGAATCGCTGAATCACTGGATTACTGGCTCGCCGTAGAATCTCTCTCTCAACAGTAGCAAAATATGCACAAAAAACAAAAACAATCGGAGATTCTTAAACCTATCCAAAGGAAAACAAAAGTGTAAACGGCAGTTTACAATAACGAAGACTTCTTTCCACTTTTACTAGCTAATAACAACATTGAAAATTATTTATCCCGTGTGTTAAGTGGTCTGTTTCACTATATTTATCTCACTCCGTCTTCATCTCACGATGCACTTGACGAGAGGGTTAGAAAAAAAGATCGCTCATCTTCTTTAGCCGCGCAACATAGTGACTCAGCCAATAAACATGAAGCAGCGCCATCTAGGGGAATGGAGAATCACAGCAATTACTTTGGCCCTGTGCAGTTTATGTGGGCTACATCTGCAACCGTCTACTATAGTATCACATCAGGGAGTGCATTGTAGTCTCCCCAAGGAAAAATTTTCTAAACTCGTTAAATCGTCTAAATCGACAACATGTGTGTTAGACCATATACCGACTAAGCTATTGAAAGAGATGCTTCCAGAGGTCATAGATCCTCTTCTCAATATCATTAATTCATCTTTGTCACTAGGATACATACCAAAAACTTTTAAGCTGGCTATGATTAAACCACTTGTTAAAAAAACGCAACTTGATCGTACAGAATTAGTCAATTATAGGCCGATCTTGAATCTACTTTTTCTGTCAAAGATACTAAAAAGGAACATGGTTGTGAGGATACTGCCTTTTCTAGTAAGAAATGATATCTCTGAGGATTTTCAGTCAGGATTTAGACCGTACCATATTACTGAGACACCTCTCATCAGTCACAAATGATTTGCTCTTATCCGATCGTGGTTGTATCTCGCTATTGGTGTTACTCGATCTTAGTGCTGCATTTGATACTATTGACCACAACATTCTTTTAAATAGACTCGAAAATTATGTTGGCATTAGTGGAATTGCATTAGCATGGTTTAAATCAAACGTATCTGACCGTTGTCAGTTTGTAGCAGTAAATGAAGTGATGTCTTATCGATCACAAGTTCAGTATGGTGTACCACAAGGCTCAGTACTAGGACCGTTGCTGTTCAACTCTGTACATGCTACCCTTTGGAGATATCATTAGAAAGCATGGCATTAGTTTTCACTGTTATGCTGATGATACTCGGCTCTATATTTCTTCACGCCCTGACGAAACTTACCAATTCACAAAATTAACGGAATGCATAGCTGATATAAAAAATTGTATGACTAGAAATTTCCTACTACTTAATTCTGAAAAAACAGATTCTAATTATTGGACAAAAAACTTCCTCACGTAATAACCTAGAATACTGTCTAACACCTGATGGCTGCTCTGTTAAGTCTTCGTCGGTCGTTTTATCCCGAGGTTTACCGCAGTCCACCGGATCCAGGCCGTATCCAGATCTGATGAAGGACCTGCGTCTGGACGCGACGACAACGCAGTCCTGATGTGTCACTAGTCCCTCCCTGTGAAGGCCTCCCTCCCTTTACCTCTGTACAGATAATCATTGTCGGGATAATTCTGGTTCACGTGGCTACGCCGAAGCAATAAAATTCTGTATTATAAATTTTAAGGCCAGACAAGTAGTTTGTTGCGGGTTGGTTTTTTAGGGAAGGTCTACATGCCTGCGCACATACAGTATATTCAAACGCGCATACCTATAGAATGAACTCTTAATACGCATGTGCACGCCATCAGCGTTCTCACAGGTTCGTGTTTTTAAAGTTTGCGTAGAGAGAACTTAAGAGTTTTCTGTTAAAACTGTGTCGTGTTAGCGGCCCTAAGTTAATAACTAATGATCGTTGCGACGGAAGTGAATCAATTAAAACTAACTTTAGCTGGAAATAACTTTATTCTAGAGCTGTCATAAAACCAAAACAATCTCTGTTACTTTAATTTCCTATTATCACTGTAAAGCAGCTTTGGAACAATCTACGTTGTTAAAAGCGCTATATAAATGAAGATGACTTGATTGACTTAACAGAACTGCAGGGTTTCACTGTTTTTATCACTCTGCATGTCTGTGTTCACGGCTTTGGCTTCTTTTGGGACTATTGTCTTTGGCAAAATAAAGAAAATAGTGTCTGAAATAGTGTTGTCAAAATATCCGGTACTTCGGTACCAAGTCGGTACTAAAAAAAATTAAACGTCACGGTACCAAGTACCGGTGGTACCGAGTACCCGGTCAAACCCTGTTCTGGATGCGCATGCATGCACGAAGGGCGTGAAGTTGCGTCCTCTTCATGAAAGCACTGAGACATGACGACCGGCGCTGCTGATGTGGTGTCTGTGTATATTAAACTGCAAAAAGACTATTTAAATATTAACCCTGCATGTTCTGCTTGTCTCTGTGTGAATGAACGGCGCAGACGCGCGGTTTCATTTAACGTTACCTCACACACACACACACACTGAAGCACGAGTGACGCTCGCGCTGTTTTCAGTCTCTGCTGCCTCACGATATGGTGACATGATTCATGATTCAATTCATCTCCGAGAGTCACTTCATGAGCATTTTACCGTTTCATTTGAGAAAAATATCGTCATATCATACACGCACAGAAACTCAAAGGTCTTCACGGCAACCCGTCAAAATAAGTTTGGTTTAACTTAAAGAAATTGACAGAAATAATTATATTAGGCTACTGTACAATAGATTTAACTACGTCTCCATTAATTAAAAATACTACTACTAATAATAATAATAATAATAATAATGTGTGCATAGAAGGTTGCTTTTTTTATAAGCAATATTTCTCAATATCATCAATATTTTCGTTTAAACAGCATGTAGCCTTCAATGCTTTCATAAATGTACCGTCATTGAATTGAATTTAATATTTTTTTTTCAAATAATTAAATAAATTGGAAAAATTGTTCAAACTGATTTTGCTGTGGTACCGAAATTGGTACCGAGAACCGTAAAATTTTAATGGTATAGGTACCGACTACTGGAATTTTGGTACCGTGACATCCCTAGTCTGAAATGTACGCTATTCATTATTAACCTCTAGTTTATTGGTCTGGTTTATCACTTTGCATGTCTGTTTTCATGCCTTTGGCTTCCTTTGGGACTCTTGTCTTTCGCAAAATCAAGAAAATGGTGTATGAAAATGTACGTTATATGCTGCTAACCTCTAGTTTATTGATTTGGTTTAAAAAAAAAGCTATATCATAATCAAAATCATGCTGTAGATCGGTCACGTGCTTAGTTTGTCTAATTTAGTGCGTTTTTGTGATTGCAGGACAATTTGGGTGCGGGAGATAATATTGACGCTATTTTAGAGACCCTGGAGAAGAGTAAAGGCCTGTCGCGTCAGAGCACAGACAACAGCGCCTCTGAACACAGACCTGTGTTGTACGTGGAACACAGGTGAGATGCATTCATGTCATAATTCTGTTCCATTTATATGTAATAAGACAAATATTTAATCTCAAATGATCTCTTTTTCTTCTGGGCCGCAAAGGAATCTGAATCCAGAGACCGAGTTGAAGAAGTATTTTGGAGCACGGGCCGTTCTGGGAGACCAGAGGTAATTTTAAAATACTATTTTTAGTTTTGCTATTTTTTCTTTTCAGGTTATTTTTCCTTATTTGCAGTTTATCTAACAGTTTATCCAATTGAGTTTATAAGTTTAACCCTCTGGGGTCTGAGGTGTTTTCGGGGTCCTTGAGATGTTTTGGCATGCTCTGACATTTGTGCTTTTTTCAGTTGCTTATAAACATATTAATGGCACAGGTGAAATTACACTCTATATAGCACACACAGGGCTACCATAATATGTGAACAACATGTTAATACATGTTTGTATTTTTGAGAGAATATTGTTTATGCGTGGTTATTGAAAAAACTAAAAACTAAAGTTTCTAATATAAGGCCACAAATAACATACTAAATATTTGTCCACAAGACTTTTGACTAGTGGATGTTGTTGCCTAGAGTTTTTGCTTTGAATTGATCTGAAAATCATTCTGCCTAATCATTCACATAAAATAATAGATTGTTTTAAATTGTGAAAAACATTTTTTTGTTTGCAAAGGCAATATGCGGATGGGCGGAACGGCCCAACCCCCTCATGAATAATTAGGCAGTTCTCACCTGAGCAGACTGCATACTAATGAGCCTTTCATTCAGGGGTGTCACACAAGAAAGAATGCAAGGACAATATATATATAGGCCTATAAATAAATAAATATTTATACACACACACACACACACACATATATATATATATATATATATATATATATACACACTACCGTTCAAAAGTTTGGGGTCAGTGAGAATTTTATTTTTATTTTTTGGAGGAAAGAAATCAATACTTTTATTTATCAAGGAATAATTCATTTGATCGAAAGTGACAGTAAAGACATTTATAATGTTACAAAAGATTCTAACCCTAACCCTATTCATCAAAGAATCCTAAAAAAAAAAAAAAAAAAAGTACAACTGACAGACCAACAACTGTTTCAACATTGATAATAATAATAAATGTTTCTTGAGCATCAAATCCTCATATTATACTGATTTGTGAAGGATCATTTGACACTGAAGACACTGACACTGGTGATGCTGAAAATTCAGCTTTGATCACAGGAATAAATTACACTTTACTATATATTCACACAGAAAACAGCTGATTTACACTGGAATAATATTTAATACTATAACTGATTTTTGTTGTATTTTTAATCAAATATCGCAGCCATGGTTAGCAGAAGAGAATTCTTTTAAAAGTATTTAAAATCGTACCGACCCCAAACTTTTGAACGGTAGTGTGTATATATATATACAAACAATCAAAATATAAATGAAAGCCAAAAGCACATTTTTAGTCACACCTTTTAGCCATCCACATCCCATTTTTAGCCATCCACCGCGGTCAAAATAAACCAGTCGCATTTCAAAGTCGTTCGCGAAACGACCGCCAGGTGGCGCAAAGGGACATTTAGCAAAACGTAAGTGGGGCTAATGTCTGTAGCCTATAAGGATGAAATACTACAAGTTATGGTAATTTCCAAATAAGCCTACAACAAACATTTATAGCCTACTCCATAATTGTTGGTCATACAGATAAGATATAATCTTTTAAAACTGTAAAAGGCTAAAGTATAGGCCTACACTCATACTCGTTTGGGTATTTCTCAGTGAGAAAAATCATAGCCGAGCGGTAGAACTTAGGGTTCATCATCAAGATGACACGGGTTCAAATCCCGCACAAACATGGTCTGCTGTAAATTTTATATTTATTTAGATTTGTCTAGCTCTAAAACTCTGTTACACCATACAGTTTTTTTTGCTTATATTTATAAAATACAATTATCATGCATTTCCATTTTACACTATAAGGAACAAAATAGTCCAACAGAACGACTTTGCATCTGTATAATAATAGGCTACCAATCGTAATTTCAAAAGCAGTTCTGTAAAAAAATTAATTATATATAGCCTATATATATATATATATATATATATTTTTTTTTTTTTTTTTTTTTTTTTTTTTTTCAGGGCTGCCAACTCTCACGCATTGAGCGTGAGAGTAGGCTACTCACGCAATTTACCCAAATCTCACGCTCTCACGCCACACCCCCGATTTCTCACGCTGAAGTGTCAACCCGGTCGGTCAAATTCCTAAAAGATATAGTTTATCTATAGATCTACCTGTTGAGATCACGAGTGGCTCAGCCACTCGTGATCGACTAGTTATACCGCAAATTAGTTAAAATATCCCGTAATCTATCTAGAGCGAGCGTGCATGCGAGGCAGACCATGCGCGTGCATGGCAGAGAGGTCTGTTCCCTACAACCTAGAGTTTTTTAAAAACATGGTTTTAAGTAAAGTGTGATTTGCCAGGGGGGACTAGGATTTCCTTCTGGTCTAAACATCCCTGCTTCTGCTGAATTATTTTAATCCCCCCCGTAATTTTTTGGTCATACAGATAAGAGTAGAGTAGGCTTACATCATTCAAAACTGTAAACTTCATTCATATAGGCTAACGAGAGGTACAGAGGATCTACTCAAACATGCAATGTAAGCGCTTCCCAATGAGAAAATGACAAGACAAGGGTGAAAATCTCGCTCTATGTAGGCTAAATCGCCCTGAATTAAAATGTAAAAACAGATCAAATAATGTATTTGTCGAAATGTTGTGATATTGTTTCATTTAAGTTCATAATTATTCTATAAATGTTATTTAATTTAGCAGCATTACCACGAAGCACCGTGTTTCGATATTTATTTGAATAATACAAAATAAAATAAAAACTTAATTCACAAATTGCATGCCTTGTAAGGATCCAAAGATCCCTGTAGAATTTAATATTGAGTTGAACATTTTGTTCATGACAACAAATTAACAAGCGTTTTTTCAGGTTATATTTAGTTTTGCTAGGAAAAAGCTGGCCCAAACCAGTTTTATTTCATCAATTATTGAAATAATGAAATATTTAGTAATAAACTTTTATGACAGAAATATCACTAGGCTACATGTAACTTAAATCATTTAATTCCTTCACTATCAACACTGTCTAGAATAGGGATTTAAGTGTGAATTGCGACTTCTCTTTGTGTTAAGTCAGCCTCAGACTCCGATAGCCTGTGGGGGGGTTGGAGGGACAGTTGCTGGACAAAGGTGTTAATGTTCCTCTTTCATATGGAGAGTGTCGGATAGCCAGCCTGATGAGCAGGCAAAATTATTGTAAGGATAAATCTGTGTCCAAATGTAGACCCCATATCTTATTAAATTATAAATATTGTAGTTTATTTATTGTAGCCTATTTTAAGTTTTTTTCACACAAAATTTCAATTGAAGTTATTGTAAGGTGAATTCAACAAGGCATGCTGTGTCTTTGAAGCAACAATTAAAGGTTAAATATTTTTTTCGTGATTTGTATGGCTGACACGCAGCGACATATACAGTATTATCAGCTGTATGATGTGTTTTACCCTGCAATGTTTAATTTCGAGAGAGACCCGCGCGCGCAGCGAGGGAGACTATAAATAAACTTGTTAAAAAGAGATCCAGCGCGAGAGAGGCAAAGAGAAACGCATGTTTTTAATTTAATTATGTTTCTTTGGACAATTTTCGTTTTGTACTGTTTTAATTGTTTAATTTAGCTGTAATTTCTTTGGCAATACAAATTTAAAATGTCGCAAGAATAAGATTAGCCTAGTGTTTCTTATTTTGCATCGCAAAAGAAATAAACTCTAAACCCGATGCAACCCTGTTTTAAATGAAAAAATTTAAACCTTGAAATGTTCGAACTTGGTTTCAAACTTAAGTAATTTTAGTGTTCTTTTACATTACACAATAATTTAGCAGACTAAAGACGAGCTCCTTCATTTTCATTTTCTGATGCAATCGGCTGACAATCTTCCTTCATCAGTTTTTGTCGTTTGTGCAGCGGCTGCGGTTCTACAGGAATGTAGCAAATTTATGTTGTAATGATAATTAAACAAAACTCTTGACTTTAAATAAGTAAACAGTTATAAACAGTTACCTATTTAAGCATCAAGGTGGGAAAATATAAACGCTGTAGGACAACATCGGTTAACAACATATAGCCTATGCTACATTGAGATTCGATCTCGGGTCTATTGAAGCTCCTCGAAGCTCGTGTTGATGCGTTAACCACTGAGCTACCGTCTGTACGCTGATAAAGTGGTAAAGCCTCATTCATGTAGCCTAAATGTTTTTTTATTGCAATGTTTTATGTTGAAATGTTTTCATTATTTATTCAATTACATTTCAGTAGCCTAATTTCAGTATTGTGATTATGAATTATTTTAACTACGTTTCACTTGTTGAATTCTTCGGTGCGGCAGCAGATTACGCATTAGAGAGAATAAACCGGAATAAACGAACACTTTTCAGAGTCTATGATTGTAGCGCCTCTTAGCGGTAAAAGGCAGCAAATACACCACACATTTTACCGCCGCGGTGGAACGGCTGATGTGGGCATTGTCATGGCTTGCCGACATTTGCGTTTGAATAGCGCGCGTCCTCCGTGGGCGTGTCAGATTAACGCGTAATGAAGTGTAATGAGCTGGGAAAAAAAATACTGACAGCACTCTCTTTTCATACAGATTGCATAAACTGAGAATATTTGTTTTTTATATAAATTACTTCATTTAAAAGAAGAGAATTTAAGCTTCATAAAGAAAAACCTCTCGTGCCTGTGTGACAAGTAATCGCGGAGTTACAGTTAATCTTAGGACGCGTTTCAGAATGGACTTCACTGACAGAGAGAACGCAGAACTCGCATCATGTTTGTTTTTCTTTATTTGGTGAAAAGCACAACACTTTGTTTTTATTGTGAGTATCCATAAAAAAAATAGAAACTTAACAGGATCTAATGATGTACAACACTTATATGTAAGATCAAAACCAACCGAGTATTTTGAGTCTCTTTTACACTGATAAGAAAAAAAGCAAGACAATCGCGCCGGCGCGATAGCCGACCCCAGGGGGTTAATTTGTGCTTGGCCACATAAATTTGTTTTAACTTCAGTTCACTTAAAAATAGTTTAAAG